AAATAAATTTATGCTTAGATGCTAATACAAGAAAATACATGACCACTTCTTAAAAATAAATTATTTAAAGATATATGGGCTTAATGAAAGTACATGACCACTTAAGTTTCTATAAGTTTTCTTGTTAAAAATTGCAGCAAAAACTAAAACATTCTCACATTTTCCTATTCTACCAAACAATTTCGTTTCTTTCCTCTGATCTTTACAACAGTTGCCCAAGAAAAACCAAAATCTTCAAAAACTGCCCACAAATTCAGCTTGTGTACAAATCCCTAAAAACCAGGTTTGTGAAAAATATTATTTTTCGATTGGTTTTGTCACTAAACTCAATTCTTACAGCTATAAAAAGGAACACAAGAAAACATACCTCCTTGTAGAATGCATTGATCTCCTCCTCAGTAAGCGCCTCCTCACCGGCGTTCTCTTCCCACCCAAGAGATCTCAGAAAGGCAGCTTCCTCCTCCTCCGAACCGACGATTATTGAAACTGAATTCGAGGCTTGATTCTTGACACTCTCCTCACCGAGGCCCGCGCAGTCCTCATGAGCATCACCATTAGCTGGGAGGGCAGCTCTATCTTTCTCAGGGGCCAAGCAATCACGAGCCTCCTCATCTGTCCTTTCCACTGTGGTGATCGGATTTTCTCGATCGGACTTCTCCATTGATGCAGGCCTAGGAGTGAGATTCGAAGAGGTTTTCTTCCTAAGGGAATTGAAGAAATCGGATCTGTTTTGGGCTTGGGAAGTAGGTCTCTTATCATCAGTTGATGCTGCTTTAGGGTTTCTGGGGGCTGCTGGGATCACAGTGAGGGGAGCATTTGCAATTCGGGTTATGGGGTTTGATGGGCTTGTGGATTCTTTTGGGATTGAGGAGATGCCATTCTTTTCACGGGAGGGTTTAAGTACAAGAAGCTTTCCAGGTTGAGATGGCTTTTGGGGGTCAGGACGAATTGTGGGGCCCCGGAGAGAAGAGTTAAGAAGCGGGGAGGAGGTTGGAAGCTGCCCAACCTTGGTGGCTCCGCTTGTGACTTTGGGTTTTGGTTTTTCTGAAGGGCTGAGCACCTGCGAAATGAAAGGAATTATGTTAGTAGCATGACAGGTAATAGCAAACTTCAGTTTTTTGAAAAGTGCACAAACACAGGTTATCCAATATACTGTAAACACACCATGTAATTAAGAATCTCCCGTATCGAGACGGCGACAAAACTATTACCAGAATTTTGACTTTTCCAAAGTTTGTTTGGGCATGGTAAACAAATCTTTCCAATAAAGTCAGTCAGTTGAAAGAAATGATAACCTTTTCGTATTTCTCAAGAGCAACTTCTAATACAAATTTAAGGGTAGAACAATATTTACATCATAAAGTAGAACCTCAGCATGTCAAGGGCCTTGGATTCTGAACCATGGCATCCATCTGCTGACTGATCATGCAAATGCCTCACTGACAACACAGTCTCGTCCAAGGTTTAAAGAAACAGATGGTGACGCGAATCGGTCACACCCATACCCGTGTCGGATCGGAGAATCAGATTGGAGAATTGGCGAAATTGGCAATTTTTGTCTCAATTTTTTTTTCAAAAAATCACTATAAATCTCTAAAAATAGTGTTCTTTTAGTTTCTAAAAGGAATTAGGAGTGATGCATTATGTACTTTTTTATTTGTAAAAATAGGTGAATACTGAGAGTCTGTTTTCCTGTCTGGATTTCTGTATAATTATTAATTATAATATAATATTATAATATTACATCAAAATAATTTAAGAATATTAAAAAACACTTTCATATTATAAGATTAAAAAAATAAATTTTCCATATAAAGTGAATTAGTATCACATCAAACATTTATTAATTCTCTTTACTCATCCAAAATTATCAAACCTAACCAACTATAATATAATACATTGAAATTGAAATTTGTATATTTTATAGTTATTTACTATGATGCAAATAAGAATAAATCTGAAATTTGTATCCCTCTAATTTAAAAATCTAATTTACAACTATAGCAAAAAATAATATATAACTTGTAATATATTCATAAATAATATATAAGATTTGATTATTAATGTGATTAGTATAATTACTAATTATAAAATTATTCTGTAATATTTTAAACACGCATCCATTTTTTAAACAAAGTTTGTACTCACAAAGAAAGTTTGCAGGCACAAAGAAAGTGGGGACTAGTCCCACATTGAAAATTTGATGGAGAATTTACTCTTATAAAACGATTGTGGCCAACGTTTACAATTGCCAATAATAAATGGAGCATAGGCGTTAGCGGACGACAAATGTGTGACGACATCTGATGGGATGGGCAAGTTGCCCTATATTTTTAAAGAAGTTTCAAAACTACCGTGGAACCCTTTAAAAAAAGTCAGGAAAGTGTACTTTCAAAAGTTTACTATAGAGACACGGTGTCGTGTCCGTGTTCTCATGAAACTCGCCGCCCGTGAGGTCATACTCTGCAGATTCGCCGATCCATGACATCATCATACCTAGAATGGCCGAATCCAGTCTTATGGTTAGAACCGAGACGGTCTAGCCGATTCTCGATCCGGATCGCCCGATTCCGGATCGGGTCAACGTTATTTAAAACACTGGTCTCGACCTTGCACTTACTCCAACAGGGATTTTCATCATCATCATCATCCTAAACGCTTTTTCCCAAACTATTTGGGGTCGACCACATAAATCCTCGTCCACCATTCTGCTCTATCAAGGGCCATACCCTCAGTGAGGCCATAATTTTTCATATAGTTTCTCACTATTTTCAACCATGTCTTTTTGGACCTATCCCTCGCCCTTTTTTATCCTTCAACTTGAACTAACTCACACTTCCTAAAAAGTGCCGTACTAGGTCTATGTTCCACATGGTCAGCCCACCAAAGTCTATTTCTCTCATCTTATCGCCTATTGGTGCCACACCTAAGTTCTTTCAAATGTAATAATTTCGAATTCTATCCCTTGTCTTGCCACTCATCCATCTCAATAACCTCATCTCAACTACACTCATCCTATGGGTATGTTGCTTCTTGACCGCTGAACATTTTACCCTATAAAACAAAGCAAGTCTCACAGATGTCCTATAAAACTTGCCCTTCAACTTCATTGGTATGCGGCGATCGCATAAAACTCCGGTTGCACATCTCCATTTCGCTCACCCAGCTCTAATTATATGCTTGACATCTTCCTCAATCTCTCCATGTTCCTAGATTATCGACCCACGATATCAAAAGCATGTTCTTTTTGGTATTTCTTGACCGTCAATCTTAACTACTTCCTTGTCTCTACGTCTATTATTACTAAACTTGCATTCTATATATTCTTAGTATGGCAAATTATTAAAACTTTTAGAATGTAAAACATCCCTCTAAAGTTCTAACTTTGTGTTCTCACTGTTTCAGGTCTCATCAATCAAAACTATGTTATCCGGGAACAACATATACCACAATACCTCATCTTGTAAGTGCTTAGTTAAGTTGCCGTTAATGAAGACAAAGAGGTAAGGGCTCATCGCTGACGCCTGATGTAGACCTATTGTCACTTGGAACTTACTTGTCGCTCCACTAGTGGTTCGCACACTAGTTAGTGCTCTCTCGTATATATCTCCCACCAAGTCAATGTAGTATCCTGCAGACTCCTTTATTTCCCAACACCCACCAAATTAAATCTCGAGGTGCTCTATCATAAGATTTCTCTAGATCAATAAAGACAATGTGGAGGTTTTTTCCCTTGGCCCTAAACTTCTCAATCAGTTGCCTAAGTAGGAAAATAGCCTCAGTTGTTAGCTTCCATAGCATAAAATCAAATTGATTTTATGATAAATTCATTTTATACCTTAATCGTTGCTCAATCACTCACTCGCATAGTTTTATTGTGTGACTCAATAAGTTTGACCCCTCGATAGTTCGCACAATTTTGTATGTTTCATTTTTTTTTTGTAAATAGGTATCACAATACTTTTCCTCGTTAATCTGGCATTTTCTTTGTTCTCAACACCTTGTTGATCAGCTTGGTCAGCTTGTCAACGCTGATCTCCATCATGCACTTCTAAAACTCTATTGGGATACCATCTCATCTTAAAACCTTTATTATCTTCTTCATCTTCAAAGCTTCTTTTATGTCTGATATCCTAATATCAGGAATGTATCTATGACCTCTATCCTCATTTATGCCAATGGTTCCTTCTACCGCTATGTTCCTATTGTGTTCGTCATTTAATACGTTTTGAAAATAAACTCTTCACCTTTCATTGACCTCTTCATCTTTCAACAAGTCCCTTTGGTCTTCATTCTTAATGCATTTAATATGGTTTAGATCCTTACACTTTTTATCTATTATTTCTGCTAATTTAAAGACATCTTTTTCAACTTTTCTTATTCCTAGTTGATTGTATAGATTATTATATGTCTTAAGTTTGTCCTTGCTTAATATTTGTTTAGTGTTTTTCTTTAGCATTTTTATATTCTACTAAATTTTGATCACTTCTATTATATTGCTAAGTTTTATAACATGATCGTTTTTTGCTAATGGTCTTTTGAACCCTATCTCTCCACCACCAAGTTTTCTTATCGGGATTTCTTTTCCCTCTAGTTTATCCTAAAACTCCTTTTGCCATTTTCTTAGTACAATCAACCATCTCATTTTACATAATATTGACCTCATGTTCAGAGTTTCATTTTTTTTCTTTAATTAATTTATCTTTAAAGAAGTTTATTTTTTCATTTTTTAAATTCCACCACTTAGTTCTTTGACACCTATTAATTTCATCCTTTCTCTTCCATCTCTTTATGCAAATGTCCATAACCACGAGCAATGTTGCATAATCAAATTCTAACTTGGAATAACCTTACAGTCTTTGCATGATGGTCGATCTACCTTCTTAATTAAGAAGAAGTCTATCTGGCTTTTATGTGATCTACTATTATAGGTTATTAAATATTCATCTCATTTTTTAAAGTAAGTGTTTGCTATTGCTAGGTCGTAGCCATAGCAAAATCTAGAATAGCTTCACCCATCTCATTTCTTTCACCAAACCCATATCCCCCATATACCCCTTCATATCCTCTATTATCCAGGCCCACATAACCAATTAAGTCCCCTCCGAAAAAGGCCCTCTCCCCATTTGGTATGTCTTGGACTAGTCCATCCATGTCCTCCTAAAAGTCTCTTAATTCTATCCTCTAGTCCTACTTGTGGTGCATAAATACTAATTATAGTAATCAATACAAGTCTAATTAATAGATGCCTATCACCTACTCTCTTGACATTAACTACTTTTATCTTTTATATCTTTGTCTATTATTATGCCTGCATCATTTTATTATTATCCTTTCCTGTATATCAAAGTTTATACCATTTATTTCTTTAGCTTTTTTTCTTTTCCACTTAAATTTCCTGTAGATAAGCTATGCTTACTCTCTTTTATCTCATTGTATCCACTAACTCCATACCCTTACCTATAAGCGTTCCTACATTCCATGTGGCTAGATGAATCCTATTCTCTTGGACTAGCTTCTTTACCCATGCTTGTTAAAGATATCGCGGGAACCCTTGCCTATTTTGCAATATAACCGGGCTTCTACAGAATCCCCTAGCTAACCCTAGCTCATTTCTCACGGTACCCGAGTTCCAGTACAACATGTCGCACACGGGGAACAACCTAGCATGAGCAGATGATATGTATTCAGGATTCATGAACAGTTTTGGCAAAATTTTGGCTGCCTACTCAACACAACCCACCTCCTTTACCCTGGCCTGGGACGGGTTTAGAGAAAGTTTAAGGTCCTCACCCTTCTTAGATCTCCAACGAGGATTTTAAAATAGCTAATATCAAAGTGAAGTTCCAGGTACCCACTGCCAAGCATTTCCATCCCTCCCTCACTACGACTTTGGAACTTGAATATTCTGTTCGGGCTTCTCCCCTCACAAGATCCTTCACCTACACTCAATAAAGCTCCCCTTATCAAGCTTGTACATGATTCAACTTACTATTCTCTCTTGTAGCATCGCACCCTACTTGAACCCCACAACCCACCCCCATCCTAAAAAAGAGAAAA